CTTCCCTTAAACTGAGAGATTAAAATCGCTTTATATCTTTCTTTCTACCAAGTAATTCTTTCTTCCTGTACCATGTCCTTATATGCAATCTTTCTTTTATATATTACTACCTCTGAATTAACTACTTTTATGAATCCAGTGTCCATCTTGTTGTGTTAATGAAGTATGGCAACTTGAACCGATGCATATATATGTGCCTGGTCCTACGTTGTAGCTGACTGACTGACTGGGTGTGGTTAATAAACAATAATCTTTAACCATTATATCATTTTCCAATATATCAATAAGTTGTAATAACCGATTTAAAGATGAAAAGAAATCGGAAATAATCTGTCATTGTTACATAAATATTCCAGCTTATCGTTTTTCTTTATCCTTCGGCTAATAAAAAAAAAGAAGAAGGAAAATAATATTCATACTTTTACGGAACAAACGTGTTTGTTTTATAAAAAGAAATAACTTCAGAAAAACTTAGAGGGGGGATGGTGGTGATGGACAGGGGGATATGGGAAGAAACGTAATAAAGGAACAGTTCATTTTTTTCTTTCCAAACATTAGATGAGAAAACATTTTGAGCTTTATGATAGTGACTATTGTTATCATCTAGTAGAATGTATGGCGTCATGTTATATGATTCTATGATTCTCAGTAAATGAAATTACATTAGAACAATAGAAATAATTGTAATGTTTAAACGTTTGTCAACCGGATGAAGTTTGACTATACCAATACACATTATTATTGTTGTGTACACAATGATTGTGTATGCTCAGTGTTTTTTTTGTTTTAAACTACTAGAGGGGGAGATGAGTAGAGATTATTACTATGGGATATAATTAGATGATGTTATATAGTGAATATTTAAATTTGTTCATGAAAATAAAAATTTGATATGAATATTTTGGGAATATCAATGGGTATTTTAAGTAGCTTCCAAAACTTTTGAAGCAAGATCGCAAGGTGGGATCGTGGATGAACACTGCTAAGAAGTCCCACAGTAGGACGAAACGGCCGTCAAGTGCTTCCAGGTTTTCAATGGTGGTCTAGATTCAATTGATTCATAATCTCAACTATAATAGCCACAGAAACCTATTCTGATATTAATTTACATATACTCACTAGTGAAAGGCTTTAAGAGGTATATCCTAGAGTTCTAGTGAGAAGCATTGACCAGGGGAGTTCAATCGGGTCTGTTGTGAGATACTGACTCACTGAAGACAATGATGGATGTGTCACCAAATGTTGTGGATTAGTTGAAATTAAACATTAACAGTGTTGGATGCCGATCGACTTAGCGGTATAATGATTAAGCGCTCGCGCGCGAGACTGATATGTCCTGGTTTCGAATCACATGAAGTGGATCGTGGATGCGCGTTGCTGTAGCGAACCATACTAGGACGAAAAAGCCGTTCAGTGCTTCGAGGTTTTCCACAGTGGTCTAGCTTTAATTGACTCATGAATTCAACTATTAAATAATACATATGAATCTCTCTAGTTACTTGTTTTAGCTACAATCAAATGTTTTTACAACAAAATGATATCAATACAAAAATGAGTCGTATATCCTAATATCTAAAAAAAAACAGAAAATAGTCATTAGTCAATCTAATTAATCGTTGAGAATCATATTCCTTTCATTGTTTGGCTAACTCCAGTAACCAACCAACTTGGATGATTGTGAAATTCGGAATTTCTAAGTCAATAATGGCAGGACAATGAAGGACCTAAGTATTAGAATAAATTCTTTTCTGCCATGTTATAATTGATACGAATAATATTGTAGTGGATGCTACTCAAAAGATTGTTTATAAGTAATGTGCAACGGAGTGTGACGTCTAGGTTGTTATAATTGTCAAATGTAGTACAGCTTTGGCAGAATATTTAGAGACCAGACGAGAATACAGTTCATATGACAGAACACACTGAAAGGTGCTAATTGAAGGTTGAAAGTTATGTATAATATATTATATAAGTTCTTTGTAACGTCTTACAATAAATACATTCTTTCTGTCTGTTGTCGTGTTTTAAAACATGAATATAAAGTACAAGATGTGAGTTATATGTAGGGAGATTCGAACACATCACTTACACTTGAAGTTTGTGATTATGATGATATCGTTCAGAAGAAGGATGAAAGCTCCACGACCAAACCATCCAGTTAAGAGAACGAAACTACATCAAAATCATCCACCTGAGCTACAAATCTCCGCCATCTCAGGATACAATATGCTTTATCAAACTGTATGTTAGTTATATGCATAACCCATGTGAATAACAATGCTTCATTTTAAAAGTTCACCATTTTAACACAGTCTAACTCCAAAAATATGACTGTACATCACAATTTATTCAATTATTACACATATCATTAGCGTTTAATGTATGTTTTACTCTCAGTTTATTTATGAATGACTATATTTACTGCATATTCTTGCACTAATTATAGTGGATTTACACTTTAGATACAGGATCATGTTTTAATAAGCAAGTTTCATTTATTACGATCGTGGTCGAGACACAGATCTTGTGATTAGATTACATACTTGCTTACTTATGCCTGTTACTCCCAGTGGAGCATAGGTCGCCGAACAGCATTCTCCAACAAACTCTGTCCTCCGTCTTTCTTTATAGTTCTATCCAATTCTTGTTCATTCTTCTCATGTCTGTCTCCATTTCTCAGAGTAATGTGTTATTCGTTGGTCTTACTCTTTTCCTTATTTGACATTGAGGATTTCAAGTGAGTGCTTCCTTTGTGATGTAGTTGAGTGGTTTACTCAATGTGTATCCTATCCACTTACAGCACTTCTTCCTCATTCAGTCCTCCATTGGAATCTGGTTTGTTCTGTCCCACAATAGGCTGTTACTAATAGTGTCTGGCCAACGGATCTGAAGTATTTTGCATAGACAACTGTCCATAAACACTAGTATCTTCTGGATGATGGGTTTCGTAGTTCTCGAAGTATCCACCCCATACGGTAGTACTTTCTTGATAATTGTACTGAAAATTGTGACTTTGGTGTTGGTTGACAACTGTTTTGTGTTCCAGATATTCTTCCATTGTAGATATGCTTAAATTTAACAGATAACATGTTTACAATATACAGTCGAACACACACATACACACATACTATTATGTCAAAATATCAAAAACAAATGTTCTCTTGGGTTTCACTATACATTATTTGTTCATTAATAATAATAACATTCAAATTTGTTAGAATGACATATTTTTCACAATTGTTGATGTCTACTAATAATCCCTATTTAAGTAGCATATTTAAGTGAAAGGAATAATCCAATGTTTTGACAAAACAAACAAAATATGTTTATTTTTCATAAACTATTAATTACTGTCAAATTAAAATGAAAAACAAACAATAACATAACAAATTATAACCATTCAATTAGGTATCGTTAACATCACCATTCGTTGTGTATCTTTCCGAATGGTTAAATATCAATAACAATAGTGGGATAGTTGATAAATTATAAGTAGTATGTTTAGAGTTACGAATCAGTTGATTAAAGGATGAACAAAGATATAATGAATACATAATTTGTCTTGATGAAAAAGGTATATCAGAAGGGGTTTTGTGAAGATTGTAGTAATTTCAATAGGTGAAATCATGAGTCAATTAAATCTAGACTACCATGGGAAAACTGGAAGCACTGGATGGCCGTTTTGTATTACTGTGGTACTCCTTAACAGTGCGCATCAACGATCTTGCCCTCGTGTGCTTCAAGGTTTTGTACGGTGGTCTATATTCAATTGACTCATGATCTCAACTATTAAAATTACTATAATATCCACAATACCTCTTCTAATATTAATCAACATTTGCTCACTAGTGACTGAATTCAAGATGCATTTTATGTAGTTCTATTGAGAAGCAGTGATCATTGGAGTTCAGTCGAGTCTATTGTGAGATATCAGCTCACTGAAGACATTGGTGGATGTTTCTCTCAATTTCGTGGATTGGTTGAAGTTAAACATTAACACCGTTGGATGTCAATCGGCTAAGTGGTCTAATGGTTAAGAGCTTGCATGCGAGACTGATAGGTCGTGAGTTTGAATTCTGCGGGGGGCGAGATCGCGGATGAGCACTGCTAAGGAGTCCCACAGTGGGACGAAACGGCCGGCCAGTACCTCCAGGTTTTCAATGGTGGTCTAGATTCAACTGACTCATGATTTGAACTATTGAAAAAGATATAGACAGCTAGTAGATATGTAAATAAATTATATAATGGTTAGTAGTGAAATTGATAAGTAATATTTGTGTATATGTCAATACTACTTATTCTTATTATTAATAGTAAGGTTAGAAGTTTCAATGGATACGATAATGACGTATAGTTTTCTATGCATTTTGATATTCAATCGTTGATATGAAATATAAATTGTGTAATTGATGGAATTTTAGATTTTATTCTAAGTTTATCTTTTGATTAACATCAACATTTGCCTAGAACGGATTTATTATATTCATTTTATTATCAAATCATTACAATGAATAGATTAACAACTCTATAGTCATTTTACATTTCATTGTTTATAATGATATGCAGATAGTAATTCCGTATAGTTTAATAGTTGAATTCATGAGTTAATTGAATGTAGACCTCCATGGGAAATCTAAAATCATTGAACAGCCGTTTCGTCCTAGTATAGGACTTCTCAGCAGTGCGCATCCATAATCTCAGCCTCATGGAATTCAAACCTAGGACTTATCGATCTCATGCATGGACGCTTAACCTATAGACTACAACTAGTATTTATGTCTAACTTTAACCAATCCACAAAATTCGCGCCACTATCCACCATGATGATCTAGCTTGAATGAACTCATGAATTCAACTATTAAATTACTAAAATCTTCACAAATCCCCCTCCCTTCTATATATAAATATTTGATCCTAAATACAAACACAATAATAACGATGTAATTAAACTCCTTATCTGATTGGTCATTTCATCTCCACTTGTGATTGGTTAATTATCACATAAATGTTATTATTATTATTATTATTATTATTATTATTATTACATAATGAAAATCCTGGAAACAAGTCCCTTATTATAATTTGATCAGTCGATTGTATATTTGTCATGGAGATTATTTATCAATTATTCAATAAAGACATCTTACATAAATTTAACCTGTATTATATAACCATTAATCTATTTAGTATTCAATTGATTTTATCCTATCAACAATTGTATCCAACTGATTTTCAATCATTAAATTTAGGTTCATGTATTAAAAATGATGGTGATCTATTTTGTCAAATGTATAGACGTAATAGTTTTTGTTCAATTCAACATGATGAATGTTTTTGTTTACCAGGATATGTATCAATATATGAAATGAATAATAGTTGGTATACATGTAAACCATGTAAGTGAATTATAGTTTGATTTATTATGATTAGATTTATGTAATTATCTAGAAAAAAAAACCCAGTATAATGTCGTTACTATTTATAAGGGTTTCAATAGTTGAGATCATAAGTGAATTGAAGCCAAACCACCATGGAAAACCTAGAGGTACTGGATGGCCGTTTCGTCCTATTATGGGACTACTCAGAAGTGCACACTGACGATCCGGCCTCGTGGGATTTGAAACCAGGACATATCAGTCTCGCGCGCGAGCGCTTAATCATTATTACCACTGAGCCGGTCGGCATTTGACACTGTTAATGTCTAACTTCAACTAATCCACGAAATTGAGTGACACATCCACCAATGTCTTCAGTAAGTTACTGACTCGCAACAGACCCGGTTGAACTCCACTGGTCAGTGCTTCTCACTAGAACTCTAGTAAATACCTACTGAAGCTAGTCACTACTGAGCATATATTGATCATTATCAGAAGTTCTATTGTGGAAATTATAGTAATTTTAATAGTTGAGATCATGAGTCAATTGAATCTAGACCATCATAAAAAACCTGGAAGCACTAGACGTGGATGCACATTGCTAAAAAGTCCTATACTAGGTTGAAACGGCCGTTCAGTACTTTCACGTTTTCCCTGATGGTATAGCTTCAATTAACTCATGATCTCAACCATTGAAATAATAAAATGGCTCCAGTATATACATCTTAAAGCCAGTCAGTAGTCAGCCTATGTTGATTAGTGTCAGAAGGGGTTTGGTGGAGATCGTAAATGAGCATCCTGAGAGAGTGCCTTGATACTTGCTAATGTTTATGAGGAGACTAGTGTAGGAACTTGGGATGTTCATCTTGAATCATCTACTGCTGCTTTGTATATCGTGATTTGGAAGTTTAATGAGTAACGATCTAGTATCTGAAGCAAAGGTCTCTGGATTTCACTGTTGGTGTGCAATCCCGTACAGATGTAATGAATATTTAGCCAATATATTTTAACAAAATAGAATATATGTCATAAGTGTTACTGTTAGTTGTTTACTATTACAAATCTATGTATCACTCAAGACAATTAGACAGTTATCTAATACCCCTTACTTCAAATTAAGGGTAGGTGGTCTCTTTACAATGACAGCCTACTTAAACTATCTCGGCTAATACTGAATATTGAATAAATAAACAAATTTACTTCCCTTCACTAAAAACTAGTCTACATAAACACTTATTTCATTACTTCATAATGAGACAATTCAGTATTAACCACTTTATTTCCGGCTTCAATTAACAGACTGATAAATTACCGATATACTGTCTATTCGTTATACTTCACTTATGAACACCATATTACTTTCTAATTTCACTTATCATCAGAAATTGAGAAAAGACATACAGGAATAAAGCTTACTCAGAACTAACGAGAAAAACTAAAGATTACAACGAATAAATATTTTCAGAATAAGGATTTGTGAAAATTTTAGTCGATTTATGCTAGACCACCATAGAAAACCTGAGAGCACTTCGTGGCCGTTCCGCCCTAGTACGGGACTCCTCAACAATGCGTATCCACGATCCCGTTAGGGGGATTCAAACCTAGGGCCTTCGGTTTCACGTGTGAACGCTTAACGTCGAGACCAATAAATATTTTAAACTTTTAGTTTTCCTACTAGTAATTAGCTTGATATATTCGACAGAATTTTTTAATGATGATAAATCAAAAGAACTTTCTGTCGATTACCTCTTAACAACTGACTTATAAATGCTAAACGATTCATAACATTATGCCTCTTCAATTATCATTACGACTAGTAAATGTCTCTATACAATCCGAAAGAATATAGATTTTATTTGATCGCCAGACTTTAGTATCCTTCTCTTAACCGCTTGTGTTATCAATAAATCAATCCATGAAATTGGTTTAAGTTAGACATCACCGACGTTGGATACCGGCTCAGTTGTTTAGAAGCTAAGTGTTCGCACGTGAGACCGGATGTCCTGGGTTCCCTTCCTGAGAGTGGGATCGTGGATGCGCACTGCTAAGGAGTCCCATACTAGGACAAAACGACTGTCTAATGCTTCCAGGTTTTCCATGGTGGTCTAGCTTTAATCGACACATAAATTCAAGTATTAAAGAAATCATTTGTCTTGCCCAAAGTATTTACATCTGAATGATTTAAATCTTCAGCGAATAAATTCATTATACTTAACAATTATGACTTAACGTTTGCAAATTGTATTCGATCCAACAATTGACCTCATTATTTATTGAATATTTTCCTAAAAAAATTGGTAAATAAAATGTTTACCTTGGATACTAAAGTGTATATTGAAACATTTATTCAATTGTGTTTTATTGTATACCCCAAAACATCTATATTGCTACCACTCTAGAGTTATTGATTGTCGGATATATAGAAATCTAATGATGCAAGTTTTATATTAAGTATAGAAATCAAAGATCATTCATTGACCTAAAAGTACCTTAAATGTCCATGTAAAAAGATTAAACTTTTAATGTTTGATCTGTTATCGTTATGGAATGTTCAGAGATATTGATTAACAAAGGTTCTGACTGGTACGAAATATTCTAACGAGAACGATTAACCTCTAGACCACTGAGCCGTTGTCCGACGTGTTATTGTCTAACTTCAACCGATTCACTAATTGATCTCGTGCGCGAGATCGATGAGTCCTGAGTTCGAATCCCACGAATGGGATCATGGATGAGCTCTGCTGAGGAGTCCCATAGTAGGATGAAACGACCCTCCAGTGCTTTAAGGTTTTCCATGGTGGTCTAGCTTCAATTAACTCACGAATTCAACTATTAACTTACTAAAATCTCCACAAAACCCTCTTCTGATAGAAATAGAATCGTTTGTCCATGGAAACTTTAAAATAGAACAACATTCATAATATCAGATAAAATTAATTACTTATCAATGTTATTTGTTTTTAATATTAAGATACGACGAAGATGTACCTTGGTATCTTATGAAACAGAAATAATATTAACCGATCAGTACTTTCGAATAAATTTGAAAATCCACTTCATTTGGATTGGCGGTTAATAGTTTAAATAACACCAACTGGAGCCCCTCTGGGGCTACTGACGGTCCTAAGCCCGGATGAAAGAGGAGGACTGGGTAAGGAGTTACCAACCCCATCCCGTAGAAAACTAGCTAGCTAAAAAAACACTGACCAGAAAAAATTTAATAGATTAAATATTCAGGTTCTTACTAATTCTAACATCATTTTCGAAATTTTAGAGATATTTCAAGTATTTCATGTTGATGAGCGTCACCAGACGAAAACGGTAGGTTCATAACTTTCTATCTGTCACCTCCAAACAGTCATACACTGATCACCACATTAAAACCTGATTGATATTATCCAATCTTAACTAACGATTATAAGCATTGTGTGGCTGATTATTAGTATAAATCAAGGATTACAACGTAGAAATGTTCAGTAAAAAATACACAACTAACCTCATATTGTAATGCATTTGTCATTCATCACGAAACGACATCAGCTCAAATACCAAGACGCTATTTAGCCAAATAGATAAAGAATTACTCACCGAAATCCAAGACCTGTTACCATAAATTTGATTGTTTCATTCAAAAATTTTAGTCTCGCCGGTCTTTATTGTGTCAAAGAATAAACCCAAGTAAAGATAAACTAATCGTAGATTTCTCGTTATGATGCTTTGTGCTTTTCATAAATACTTGAATGTTTTTATTTATTTAAACACATGAACATTGGTACAAGGAAGCACCAAATAGATGTACACCACATAAATCATTCGATTTATGGGAGGGTTGTGATACTGCCAGGGTGCCCAAATTGAGACAGGTGCTTTTCTTAGAGGGCCTTACCCAGAGCATTTGACCTACAAGTCTAATCCACAAAGCAGTGGAGCAACGTAAGGCGATGCAATTCCATCAAAGCCGGTGATCAACAATTAATTCATACGCCATTTGTTCCTTCAGGATCCTGGAGCCCACGTGCACTAATGGTTTAGAATCAGGGTTTTCCAACTCTCCTAGGTGGATGTTCCGTGTCCACCAACCCGGTTAAAGCGCCGAACATTCACTTTTCGTTCTCTTAATTTCGTAAACAACACCCCCGCCACGAGAAGGCACTGAGTAGGACTTCCCTGGCAGAGGCTATATATGCGTGGCCATGTGAGAGCATTTCGAGAGGGAGAGTTAACTCTCCACAGTCTCAGCCATTTGGGAGCATGTATACTAGATAATCTACTTAGACAAAATAACCAATTAAAACAAGTACAAAACTGGAATAGTTCATATCATGTTAAAGCAGTTGAAAACAAAAAGAAGAAATAGACAACTTTTATTCAAAAGAGATTTACAATCCAAACTGATCTATTCATAATATAATATGTAAAAAAGAAAACAATTCTTCCTGGAGCCCCTCTGAAGCTACTGCTAATCCCAAGCCCGAATAAAGGAGGAGGGTCGAGTGTACGGTTAGCGACCCCATCCGGTAAAAAAAACGAACTCGCCAATAAAACGCTAACCAGAAATAGATTAATTCAAAAAAGAAAACCACTAGTTGGATAAATCCTCAATTCAGTTTACTAAATAGCACTATACATTTTAAAAGAAATTCCTATTTAAGTAGTATCTAAGGTTCTGTAGGAATCGTAATTGTGCAATTGTACAATAAATGACAATTTTGACATTTTTTAAAAATCCTACAAGACAATAAGATGAATATTGGTAACAATTAGCACACATTTATTGATTATAGTGTAGTTGTGAACTTGTCAAAAATTTAGAATAAAACATGATCTATTCATTACTTGGTCTTTGTTTTTTTTCTTAGGTTTTAATAATTAAACTGTAATAATATGTTGTTATGCTACTGATATCGATAGATATAAGTAGTATATATATCATCAACCAAAAATGAAATAACTAGAGGTAGATGGTTAAGAAGATTGAAGAAAAGTGAATGAGAATAGAGAGTGATTGGTGTGCAATAGAA